AAAAAAAAAAAATGCAATCCCTTTCTAGAGAAAAAAAGGGGATATGATATAGATATGATAGGATGAAAGGGTAGATTAATGAACCTACTTTTAAAGAGCAACACTTGTTTGAAATGTTTTACATTGGTATAGATTTTAGTTTATTGATACAAATTTAAAGTTAATTTTGTTATACTATGTGTATATTTCTACTCTTGTTTAAGGTATTATGTTTGTACAGCTCATTTAAAACTGTAATGGATAATTAAGGAATAGATTAATAATTAGTCATCTATGATAATCATACTTGTAACCATGTTAGTTAAGTCTTCTAGGTATACATAGATATATTTCAGATAGATAGGTAATCTTCAAACAGTTCAAAGACCTAGAGAATATGACATTTAAAATGTTTCAAAAATTTGGACTTTCTGGATAGTGAGACGTGTCCGCTTCTGGCAGCACTGGATTTACTTCAGAGAGGAGGATGGGCATCAAAAACACTCTATATAGCTTTATCTTCACCTTGGCAAAAATAGCCTTTTGGGCAAGAAACTGATCTTGCCTGGACTGCTTTAAAAATGTATCAACTGGACATGCAGGACCCATAGGAACTTTGCTTGGCAAAATGGTCCTTCAGGTTTCTGCTTCGCAGAGGAAACTGCCAGACATTCTACAGGACACAAACAGAAGTGACTGAGAGACTCTAGGCCTGTGGGCTGAAGACAGATGCCCCAACTTTACAAAGGGACATTAGGTGACTGTCAAGGCTACCAGCTGTCTGTCTACTCTTGCAAGATTCCCAAAAGTTGCTTGCATCCTTCTCCCATTTCTCAGGTAGTATTATATCCTCCTGAAGTCTTTGATGTAGTTGAAGACTAGAAAGTTATAATTATCTTAGTTATGATGAAAGATAATTTAGATATGAAACCTTAGACACGCAAATAAGGATAGATAGGATATCTTCTTTAATATTGTAACTGTAACTCTTGCTTGGTAATTGTTTTGTTATATGTAATTTTACTATGTGAAAGTTAAAACTTTCCTTTTTGAAAAAAAAGGGGAAGTGCTGTGGATATCACTCTGTATAAATAAAATGTTGATTGGCCAGTAGCCAGGCAGGAAGTATAGGCAGGAAAAGCAAGGAGAAGAGAATTCTGGGAACAGAAAGGCTGAGGCAGAGACGCTACCAGATGCCGCCACAATAAGATGTTAAGAACTGGTAAGCCACGAGCCATGTGGCAAGTTATAGATTAATAGAAATGGGTTGATTTAAGATATAAGAACAGTTAGCAAGAAGCCTGCCACGGCCATACATTTTATAAGTAATATAAGTCTCTGTGTGTTTACTTGGTTGGTTCTGAGAAGCTGTGGGATTGGCATGGGAGAGAGATTTGTCCTGACCAGAGGGCCAGGTAGAACCAAGAAAACTCTAGCTACATCACCTGTTCCCTTACCCACAGTCCATAATCTCCATGGACAGACATTCCTTTCACGGGGTTTTGATTTGGAATTGGCCAAAGCCAAGGCTGATGAATGGGATGATTTTGTGGTAGTGTTTTCAGAGGAGATTTTCAGCAGTAGACAGGCTAGCCAGAGCCACAGAACCTGCCTGGGACAGAGCTGTCTGCCATCAGGTAAGCGTGAAACACTATCTCTGAGGAGAGATGGGAGATTTGGTAAGGGTTGGTTTCAGACCCTTTGGCCATCGATGCCTCACATGCTGGGATGCTGGAGAAAGCAGACTCACCATCCCATGTCTCTCCCACTAACACTCATCATGAAGAGCACGGAGAGGACTGGACAGATGGCTCAGCTGTAAGGAGCACTTGCTGCTCCTCTGAGGACCAGTGTTCGAGTCCCAGCACCCTCCTCAGGCAGCTCACAGTTAGTTGCCTTTAACTCCAGCTCTAGGGGATCTAAGACATCTTGTTTCCTTGGGTGACAACACATTGACACATCAATAATAAGCTCAGGGTGGAGAATGGGCTGGAGAACTGGCTCAGTGGTTAGGGCACTTGCTGCCCAGCCTGATGATCTGAGTTTGAGTCCCAGGTCGTCTAAAATTTGAAGGACTGGTTTCCTCCTAGGGCAGTTTGACTCCTGAGGGTGATTGCTCGGGGAAGCTTTAGGTTTTGTTTTGTTCCAAGCAGAGTGCCCAGTAACTCAGGCTGGTCTTCAAATAGCCACGTAGTGGAGGTTGGTTTTGAACTTGTGATATTCCTGCCTTTACCTTCCAAATGCTGAAATTAATGGGGTGGGACCACATCCTCTGGAGGTGTTTTAGCCCTGTTAACCTACATGGATCGCGTGACTAGAAATACATACCTATATTTTTCCATTTAAGAGACAGTCTCTCCACATAGTTCTGGCTGTCCTGGAACTTAGCAGGCTGGCCTTGGACTCAGAGACCCGCCTGCCTCTGCCATCTGAGTGCTGGGATCAAAGATGTGCAAAGCCACACCTGGCTGCTCTGAGTTTTCACAGTGTGCAGTCGCTGTGACTTCAAAGTCACAATATGGAGCAGAGGAGACCCTCCCCCGCCCCAGAAGTAATCATTCAACTTCGAATTTTTTAAAAGTTATCCTGCTTTTATAGGTATTTGTATTTTTCTTGTGTGTGTATCTGACACCACATGTGTGCCTGCTGCCTGCAGAAGCGAAAAGGCATCAGATCCCCCACCATCACCTGAATACAGATTACAGATGGTTGGGAGCCTCCTTGTGGGTGCTGAGACTCAAACCAGGTCCTCTGCAAATCAGCTGATGTTCTTAACCTGTGAGACATCCCTCTTCTAGCCTCATTAGCCCCAAATGTTTTTTTTTATACTAAATTTTTTAACATTTATTTTACATACCAACCACAGTTTCCCTCCCTCCTCCCCCTGTTCCCGCCTCCCACCTCCTTTCTACCCCACCTCAGCCACTCCTCAGAAAGGGTAAAGCCTCCCCTGGGAGTCAACAAAGCAAAGCATATCAAGTTGAGGCAGGACCAAGCTCTTCCCCTGCATAAAGCTGAGCGAAGCATCTCAACATAGGGAACAGGTTCCAAAAAGCCAGTTCATGCGCCAGGGACAGATCCTGGTCCCACTGCCAGAGGCCCCATAAACAGACCACACTACACATCTGTCACCCGTATGCAGAGGGTCTAGGTTAGTCCCATGCAGGCTTCTTAGCTAACTGTCTAGAGCCTGTGGGCTCCCAGGAACATGGATCAGCTATAGTGCCCATTTGAGAGGCATTTTGCATGTAGAGTCAAGGGCAGGAAAGATCGTGCATAGAGAATTAAAATAGCAACCAACATGACGTGTAGAGGTATGGCGGCTCCATGGCAATGAGAATACAAATAAGAGGAGAATATTGGTTTATGTAGGGTATTGGTGTGGGCCATAGAAGTATGAACAGAGCCAGGGGGGCACGACTTTAATCCCAGCACTAGGGAGGCAGAGACAGGAGGATCTCTGTGAGTTCCAGGCCAGCCTGGGCTACAGAGTGAGATCCAGGACAGGCACCAAAACTACACAGAGAAACCCTGTCTCAAAAAAAAAATTACCAAGAAAAAAAATTGTTAAAAATGCTGGGGAGGGGTGGCACACGCCTGTAATCCCAGCACTTGGGAGGCAGAGCCAAGTGGATCTCTGTGAGTTCGAGGCCAGCCTGGTCTACAGAGCTGGTCCAGGACAGGCTCCAAAGCTACACAGAGAAACTCTGTCTCAAAAAAACAAAACAAAAAGAAAAAGTATGAACAGTTTCACAATGGTGGGGAAAACTGAGTTGCCCAGATCAAGCAGAGACAAGATTCTATGCTCCACCTCTCCACTGAACAAACACACACCCATAATTCTTCACTATTCCCGGTCAAGAAAGAAGTTTTGTTGGATACAGCACCAGAGATCAGAGAACTGGACTACCTGAGGCCTCAGCAGAGTCCGGGGAGTGACTCCCTGAAGGGCTGGGACCTCCCTGTTGATACCTCAGGACCCTCAGTAACAATGGGTCCTGGTGAGTTCAAGATGGAAACCTACTGAGGACTCACATCCCCTTGCCCAGCACTCCCTTCCTGTGGGAGGAAGCTGACCACCCACTCCCATCGCCTCTGTAACTAGCCTTCCAGAGCATTAACAGGCTGAGCTCTCAGGCTTGGGATGTTGATGGGATGTCCACAGCCAACATGAGAATTTATCTACAAAAAGTCTAGTATGATCCAGATGATCTTTAATAAGTGTTGTGTGTCTTAGTGGGGAAAGGCACTGGCCCTCGAGCTGACTGCCTGTGATCCATCTCAGGACCCTCATGGTGACAGGAGAGAAACAACCCAAAAGTTGTCTTCTGACCTCCACATTCTTAGGGTGCCACCTCCCTCCATAATGGAGTAAATAAATGCAATCCATTTTTGAGAGGGACTCTCAAGTTTTAAATGTTGTATGTGGACATCCTTGCATCAGATTCTGTCAGAGGAAAGGATGTGAAGATGTCCCAGGAAGATACAAATACAGATGCTGTCACACCCTTCACCCATGTTCTGGAAAGAAGAGATTTAGCTGCACACACAGATCTTCAGAGTCTCTCTAGTTCCAATGGAGACAATGTTCCCCCTTGTCAAGGAGGGGCCTCCTGTGTGGACAGGACAGAAGATGGCCAGCTAGGGCTTGCTACCCTACGACCTGTGGAGCCTGTTGATCATCTCGCCGGCCAGGCTAAGTTTGTGTGCAGTGAATGCAAGAAGAGCTTCCTGTACAGGTCTCAGTTCATCATCCACCAGAGGTCACACACAGGAGAGAGACCCTTTGAGTGCAGCGTGTGCAAAAAGAGGTTTGTGCAATCCTCAGACCTTCGGGTCCACAAGCGCATCCACAGGGGTGAAAAGCCTTACGCGTGCAGCATCTGCAGCAAGAGGTTTGCCCACAAGTCCACTCTGCGGGGTCACCTTAGGGTCCACACAAAGGAGAAGCCTTATGAGTGTGAGCACTGTGGGACATGCTTCAACCACAAAGGCAACCTCAGTGTCCATCTGGGAACCCACAGCGACTCAAGACCTCACAGATGTAAGGAGTGTGACAAGGCCTTCAGACAGCATGGGACTCTGAAATGACACTTGAAAATCCATCCAAGAATGACATCCTTGTGAGTCTGTATCCAGATTGAAGTCTTTTCCTAGAGAGACTGTTGCTAGGTTACCCTTGTTACATGGCAACACCCTGGGAGCACTTAAAGTGATGTCTCATCCCTTGAAGATCTGAGGACAGTTCTATTTCACTATGCCCCAGTGGTGTGTGTGTGTGTGTGTGTGTGTGTGTGTGTGTGTGTGTGTGTGTGTGTGACAGGATCTCACTATGTGTCACTGGCTGTCCTAGAAACTCACCATGTAGACCAGGCTAGTTTGAAACTCAAGAGACTTTCTTATCTATGTAGTCTAGATTGGCCATGAACTTGGAACCGGATCCCTACCTCTGCCCAGAGTGTTGAGTTGCCTCTCCTTGGAAGGCTTTTGTTATATTTCGTTTTTATTTGGTGCTGTTATCCGCAAGTTGTCAATATTGAATAAAAAAGTGGGAATGATGTTTGTCTTCTCATAACACTTTAAAATGTGATTTTCCAATAAATTACTTGGTATCTGTCCAAGGACAAAAATTTTATAATTGTGTGTATGTCCTCCCCATTACCACTATTATTATTATTATTATTATTATTATTTTGGAGCTAAGGACCAAGCCCAGGGCCTTGAACTTGCTAGTTAATGCTCTACCACTGAGCTAAATCCCCAACACCTTATTTTTTAAAAAAAAAAATGATTTTTCAAGACAGAGTTTCTCTGTGCAACAGTCTTTAACTGTCCTGGAATGAACTTTGTAGACCAGGCTGGCCTCTGCCTCTCAAATCCTGGATTAAAGCACATACACCTACCACCTGGATTCTCACAGATTTTTAGAATATTTATGGGTGCTTTGCCTGCACACAGTGTGGGTGGTACCTGAGGGGGTCAGATAAGTGGGCTGCATCTCTTGAGGCTGGAGTTTCTGAGTGTTGGGAGCAGTTATATGGGTGCTGGGATCCAAACCCACCTGGTTCCTCTGCAAGAGCAGCCAGTGCTCTTAACCACTGAGCCATCTCTCCAGCCCCTAGTCACATAATTAAGGAGGGTACTTTAAATCATGAACCACTCAAATTGCCCTTAAATGTTAAGCAAGTCAGTTTACTCTAAATTCAAAGCAAATGAGTCAAGAATTTGAGGAAATTATTTGATCGTTTTGGCTCTTTGGGTGGGGCACTCAGCTCCAAAATAAATCACACATAGGCTTATTCTTAGTTATTAATGCTGGGCCTTTTCTTGGTTTGTTTCTTGCAAAATTTCCTTAACTTATCACATCTACATTTTGCCTCTGGTCTTTTTCCTTTTCTTACTTCATTTATTTATTTACTTACTTATTAATTTATTTATTCATTCATTCATTTTTTTAAATGCCAAATGCTGTTTATTGAAAGAGGGAGGAGGTCTTAAATACCGGCTTACGGCACAATGGGAAAACACTGGAGGGCAGAAGTTCACTACTGATGTTTTACAATCTTGCATCTAAGCTGTTAACGCCCATTATGCAGGATACACAGACAAGGAACTTCCCTTAAGCATTCAGGAGGGTGGAACCTGGCAGGGAATTAGCATAGGGAGGATATCAAGGTCAAGGTCAGCAAGCAAGGCAACAGTTACCCAAAACGGGGAACCAGGGCCCTACAGGTCACCCTTTTACTAAAAAATGAGCTTCTGACTTAGGTTGTGTGGGTCGTCAGCAGGTCACCTTACTGGTCATGGAGATGCCTGCCCAGGCTACACAGGTGCTCTGTCTTAGGTTGATGAGCACCCCCCAGGCATTACCCGTCTCTGAATACTCATTATCATACAGGCTCAATCATGTGTGAGCTGCAGAGTTAACTGCTGCCAAAGATCTCAAAGTGGCACTGGGCTTGCAATCTGTGTGTTCAACACAGAAAAGACCAACAGAAGTCCTAACCCACCCATAGCCAGTAGGCTAAAGGCAACTGAGCCATTCCTTTCCTTAACGAGCCTTACTACAAATTGGAGTCCGTGTAAGATGGTATCCCAAAAGCAAATGGAACTTGACTTTATAAATTTATAATTTTCAAAGCCAATTGAAATGTATATAACTATTGAATTAAATTTATCATGCCCAATAGAATGAAAGATTAACTAACTGTGGTAGCTACTTTTGCTGCCAGGGTCTCCACAGTGCTAACTGTAGTAAGCAATTATGAAATAGTAGCCCCAGAAACAGTAGCAGTGGTGGCTGCCACTGCTATAACAGCAACAACGGCAGCAGCAATGTCAAATTCTCTTCTGGAGCATGTGGGCATCCACTGGCATGGATACAACTCCAGGAACACGAATGGCCAATGCCCATTTTTCTTGATCCCAGCTTGACTTAGGCTGGCAGCTCTGCAAAAGAACAACTAAGAACCATAAAGAAAAAACTCCTTTTCTTACTTCTATATATCTTACTCTTACTCTGTGGCTGGCTGTGTTAGCTGGGTGGCTGAGCCCTGGTGTCTGCTTCCTTCTCTGGCTTCTAGGACTCTCCTCTTCCAGATTTCCCCTTCCATATATTCTGTCTACATGCCAGCCACACCTGTCCTCCTCCTGCCTCACTATGGGCTGTTTTGCTTTTTATTAGACCATCAGATGTTTTAGACAGTCACAGAAACGCAGCTTCACAGAGTTAAACAACTGCAACATAAACAAAAGTAACACACCCTAAAATAATATTATACAACATTTCCCACTTTTTGTCTAAATAAAAAAAAGGTAAGGCTGGAAAGATGGCTCAGAGGTTAAGAACACTGACTGTTCTTCTAGATGTCCTGAGTTCAATTTCCAGGAACCACGTGGTGGCTCACAACCAATGATGATGTGTTCAGGTGTGCTCTTCTGGCCTGCAGTGCAGGCATATGTACAGGCAGAACACTGCATACGTAATAAATAAAGAAGTGAAAATTAAAAAAAATAAAAAATGAAGGTTTTAACTTTAACATGCTAAAACTATATACAACAGAAAAAATTATCAAGTTAGAATTACATTTCCAATATTCAGTGTATTTGTATTTAGCAAATTCAGAGAAAATAATGCGTCATCTATCCTATCTTAGTGAATCCAAAACTTTGTACATAATTTACTTTCTATCATATCTAAAGAAAGCTGCAACTATAGTTAATCACGTAATCAACTTCAGAGATCCAGAAGGATATAACATTATCTAAGAACAGAGACATTTGGGTGCCTGGACAGTCACCTAAAGTTTCTCTGCAATGTTGGGGCATCCACCTTCATCCTACAGGCCTAGAGTATCTGGCAGACTTTTCTATGAATCAGGAATTTTGGACGTCTTGCCTTGTTTTGGCAAAATTCATCAGTCACTTTCCTCTGCGTCCTGCAGAATGTCTGGGAGAGTCTTCTGTGAAGTAGGTATTTTAGGAATGAATGTCCTGCCTTTTCCGGCAAGTTCAACAGTCTTTTTTCCTGTGTGTCCTGCATGTCCAGTCTGCACAGCAGTCAAAAGCAAGAGCAGTTCCTTGGTCCTGTGGCTAGCCTTGCCACAGTGAAAGCAAACTCCATAAGGAGTTTCTTCAGTGCCCATCATCTCTGACATAAATTGATACAGCCAGGAGCAGAGTGTCTCACTGCCATAAAAAAACTTTAAATTTCAAAGCATTTTAGATGCTATATTCTGTAGGTCTTTGAAGTGTCTGAAGACCATTTATCTAAAATTATACCTATTTAATCTATAAAATATACCATTACCTCCTTGGGATCTCGACTTGTACAGTGACTCAAGACATTAGGGAAACAAACAGACTAGGTTTTTTCTGTTTTTTTTTTTAAACAAAAAACAGGTTTTAATTTCAAAGTGCAGGGTTATTTGAAACTGGAAAATATTTTCTCTGTAGAAAATTGTAAAAATAATATTTTCCAATAAGCCCCTTTAAGCCAAATGAGAGCTGAATTATACATATAAATATTGATTAGATTCTGGGATACAGAAGAAACCTATCTTCATCTGTTCAGAGCCCTATGTTTTCCTTAAATTGTAGAAGTGAGATTCCTACTCATCTTCCCCTTCACTGTTTGATTTATGGCAGATATTTTTCTAGCCTCCTGTCCTGAAAGTACAGCCCGCATATCCTTTCATAAGCTTGATACACTACAAATTCTTATCCTAAGAGTGAAATGTTTCACTAAAGCTTTCCCAGTGATTGGGCAAACCCAGAACTTATTATAAGCCACAGTCATCCTAGGCTCCTCCCTGCTAGGTAGCCTCCCTGGATCCGTGGGTTGCAATCCGACTGTCCTTTGCTTTATATCTAGTATCCACTTATGAGTGAGTACATACTATGTTTGTCCTTCTGGGTCTGGATTACCTCACTCAGGATGATATTTTCTAGTTTCAAGCATTTGCCTGCAGATTTCATGATGTCATTGTTTTTCTCTGCTGAGTAGTACTCCAATGTATATATGTGTCACATTTTCATGATCCATTCCTCAGTTGATGGGCATGTCTAGGTTGATTCCAGGTTCTGGCTATTCAGAATAATATTTCTATGAACAGAGTTGAGCTTGTATCTTTGTGGTATGACTGAGCATTCCTTGGGTATATACCCAAGAGTGGTATAGCTGGATCTTGAGGTAAATTGATTCCCAATTTTCTGAGAAACCACCATACTGATTTCCACAGTGGCTGTACCAGTTTGCATTCCCACCAAGAGTGGAGGAGTGTTCCCCTTGCTCTGCATCCTCTCCAACATAGACTGTCATCAGTGTTTTTTATCACAGCCATTCTGACAGGTGTAAGGTGGTATCTCAGAGTTGTTTTCATTGGTATTAATCTGATGACTAAGGATGTTGAGTATTTCCTTAAATAAGACTGGTTTGTTAAAATGGATATCACAGCCAAGCAGTTGGGGAGCCGCCTTTAATCCTAGCACTTGAGAGGCAGAGGCAGGTGGATCTCTGTGAGTTCAAGGCCAGCCTGGTCTACAGAGAGAGTTCCAGGACAGCCTGGGCTGTCACACAGAGAAAACCTTTCTTGAAAAACAAAACAAAAGGATATGACAGAGGATGCAATGAAGAGACAGATAGAACAAACTACAGGGGTGCTGAGCCTCCACACCCTCTCTGGGGACAACTTTCTCCATGATTTCCACATCCTCGAAGGAGCAGATCTCTGGTTTTCTAAATTCATTCTTAGAAATATTTATATCTGGGGCTGGAGAAATGGTCAAGAGGTTAAGAAAATTGGCTGCTCTTCCAAAGGACTCTG